TTTGAGAAACCAGCTCGAGTGCGCTAGAATTTGAAAATACACAACCGGAGAAAATCGGCCACTTCCTTACAGAGCCCCTCCTCCAACACACACGAACGTGCACAAGACCAATGAGGGCACGAGATAAGTTTGTGCACAGATGGAAGGCTGACAGGCAGGTAGGCCATCCAGTTACTTTAGCCGGGCCGGCTAAAATAATTGGTCGTGCTTTTTACAGTATTACGGCTTCCACAGATGACATTTTGTTATGTTTTTTTTGTCAAAGCACTTAAGATATTCATTGCTATCGGGATGTTAAGAGCATTCCATGGAATATAACAAAAAGTGTATCTCGAGCCGGTTTCTCAAACTTACNCACAGATGGAAGGCTGACAGGCAGGTAGGCCATCCAGTTATTTTAGCCGGGCCGGCTCAGATGATTGGTCGTGCTTTTTACAGTACTAGGGCTTCCACAGCGGTCTCACACAATTAGTATTAATTATTCCAGCTGTGAGCAGGTCCTCCATTTTATTCTAAATGTATGTGTGAAAAGTGTTTCAAAGAAGTACTGAATAAATATAGTAGTTAGTAGGGCTACACATTTAATTGAAATTGTGTAAATCGCAATATAGACTAGTGCAAGGTATAAAATGCAGGAAGCATAATATCTATTAAAGGATACATTTGTTAATAATCCCTTTTTCTAATTAAGTATTGTGTAGCTGCTAATACATCCCAGCCTACAAATCGAAGATCACAACTGAATCCTTTTTATATATCTTTCAATGATTATTAGAATTATAATGAAATAAATGCAATCCCCCTATAATTGGGCATCATATAGCCACTGCAATGTCACTGAGAATAATTACAATACGTTGTTTTTCCCAAATCGTCCAGCCCTATTAGTGAGAAATGCAATGTGAACAAATATAAAATCCTAAAACTGTTTTGCAGGGTAACCACATTTTGTGATTTGAAAGGTCCAAGTTGAATTAAAGTTTTCCAGTTGTTCTCCCCATCGTCACTGACCTGTTTTCTTTTTCCAAACAACTTGATGCACAGCATTGATGTGCTCTTCCCTGTTATTTGGTCCAGCAGTGTGAGAACTAGAGTGGTTAGCCCCAGGCTAGCTGAGCTCAGGTTTCCTGTTTACCTCACAGAGAAAAAGAATATCCTATTAACAGTGTCAACCATGGCAGACATAGTGGGGCACCTGGTGCTCACTGTGGCTGTAATCCCTGGGATTTAGAGGTCTAGTTAGCTGCTCTCAAACCACCTCCAAGTAACAAGAACACAGTTCACCCTTTAAAGCTCCCCTATTATACAGTTTTTCATCAATATATTACAGGTCTCAGATATATACAGAACATGTCTCTGAAGTGTTTGGCTCCAAACACCAAACAGATCATTGCAGCATCCCATAATCCCCTCTGTTTCAGCCCTGTTTCCAAAGTGCTGATTCTCTATGATACTGGACTTTTTTGAGGAATTTACCGTAGAGCTAGAGAGGTTTGTGGGCAGATTAAGACCCCATTTACACACATACGAAACGCAAACGAACCGAATACGATATCAAAAAGTCTTCCGTTCACACGAGACCGCTCGAAAGCGCTAGACGCTGTAGTACATATGCCATGGTTGCCATGGTTGCCCTTCTGTTTATGCCCCGCCGTAGATTTAGCAACATGTAGTTCTCCATGCCCACTTGTTGCTGATGGTTGTGTTAGAGGTGCTAGTGTCAGTAGCTACTGACCATGCTACAGCAGTGAGCAGCAGAGGTGGGGCTATGGCTTCATCGTTATCAGGAAATGATCATATAGGGCGTACACACCGAGCCGTTTGGCCCCCCAGAGCTTTCTGTCTGCAGATCTATCCACCTTGGGACCCGTTATCGTTTGCGGGGTCTGTTTCCGTTACGGCCTCGTGTGAACGAACGGGCTATGCGAAAGAGAAAAGTAGCGGATACAACCGTTTGCTGTTTCTTGTGTAAACAGTACCTAAGTCCTTTGCTAATTGCCAAGGACAACACCAGGGGATGAATCAGAGGTGCATGCTGGGACTGATTGAATGCAACTGATAGTGGACATTACTTTTACAAACAAACTGTATTTAATGTGGATCTGTCATATCTTCGTGGCTGATACGTCTTTCTGCTAATGAAAGATTGTATCTGTTATTATATCTGGCACATTGGATTCGTACATCCTTAGTTAATTCAAATATACCAGTTAATAAGCAACCTCTGCTGTGATTTATAGTTGAACTAGTTTATGCAGCAGCTACTGTTTTGCAGAAATTGCCAACTTTCTTTAAAAAACGCTCTGGGGTGAGCCTAGCTTGGGACATTTCTGAAAGATTGAGACACAAGTGGCCACACCTCTTAGGGAACAAGTGTTGTTGCAGTGTCCATTAGACAGATACAATCCCAATGCTCTCCTACTTTACTGATTTAAATTCAAGATTAAATCAAGGCTACCTGGTCGTGTGCCATCACGCGTAAACGGAAACACTGGATGTGTCGTAGTATTGTGAAATCTAGTTGTTGTTGTTTCTGGTGTTGTTAGTAACGTGAATGGGTACTATCTGTAATTGTGTTTTTTTCAAACGGAGATAACATTATGTTTCCTGACAAGGGACTACCGATGTAAATAAGCTTATAGTTCTGTTACAAGTGTCTCAACTAGGGCTGTGCAATTAATCGTATATTAATCTCGATTACGATTTTGGCTTGCAACGATTAGGAAAACAACATAATCGAAATAAAACGATTATTATGTTTATTTAAATTTTAAAAATGTTTAAAAAATTTTTATTGGTTTTTCAGTTGAATGAAACTTAAAGTTCAGGGTAATCAACTGTTAAAAACATACTGTTCACATTTTTTTTTCAATAAATGGAAGTTTTCAAAGTAAATGGATAATCGTTTTTAATAATCGTGATATCAATTAATGACCCAAATAATCGTGATTATGATTTTTGCCATAATCGCACAGCCCTAGTCTCAATCTGCATTCACGTGCCTGTATAGCTAGATAACCCTCTGTGGATCTTCTTTAAATGATAATCACATTTCATTGTATTTAGATCACTAAAATTGAAAAATGTACCGATATATAATAACACATTTCTCTTTACAATCTGTCCAGCTTACAGCACTCTCTGTCCTTAGACCCTAACATAAATAATATACAACTGCCCCGTAATGTAAGGGTTAAAACATGTGAAGCACATCTCTGTCCTCTCTTCATGAAGAGGTCACTAGTTTCCCTCGGCCTCCGCTTTTTAACGGCCAAAGTCGCACGAGGATGGGCTGATCTTTTTTCTTTCTGGGCGTCCCCCTCTGTTTATGAAAGGAAGCGAGGTTTTGAAGGTCAGGCGAATGTTGGCGGCGATGCATAATGGGAGCTACGCATGTTGGTCCACTGCGTAGCCGCTTGGCATACAATGACAAAGGGCTGGATGCTGTTATCTATATTTTTCCCACACAAGTTGCTTTTCCTGACTCATCCCAAAACACAGAAGCTTTCCGCGAGGTGCTGCAAGATAACCGTCTGAATGTTCTCCAGAATGATAGCCTGCTCCCACAGATTAGTCTGACATGTTGATGTTGGGCGTCCCGTTGAGTGTAATATTATCTGAAGTATGTTTGTATCAACTGCAGTGCTAAAACTTGGGCTAAACTTAGCAAAGGAACTGGTTTAGGTAATGGTTTTCTTTCAAAGCTACACCTACTGCCGTACAATTAGGGCTGTTACTAACAATTGTTTTAGTTCCTGATTAATCTGTCAATTATTTTCACGATTAATAGTTTGGTTTGGGAAATTCGACAACCAAAGCCCAAGATCAAATTCTCAAATGTCATATTTTGTTCACATCTCAAATATTCACTCTAAAGAAGAGATAAAATAAGTGGATAATTTGATTGAATTGGGGAATAATTTAAACGTGGGGTAGGTCATTTTGGAGAAACCAGCTCGAGTGCGCTAGAATTTGAAAATACACAGCCGGAAAAAATCTGCCCCTCCTCCAACACACACGAACGCGCACATGACCAATGAGGGCACAGATTTGGGCTGACAGGCAGGTAGGCCATCCAGTTATTTTAGCCGGGCCGGCTCAGATGATTGGTCGTGCTTTTGACAGCGCCACGGCTTCCACAGATGAAATATTTATATGGATTTGTCGTCAAAGCACTTCAGATATTCATTGCTATCGGGATGTTAAGAGCATTCCATGGAATATAACAAAATGTATCTCGAGCCGGCTTCTCAAACTTACCTACCCCACCTTTAAAGATGACAATTTAATAATTTA